TGAGGTGAGGTGAACCATGCCAGACTGGGCCACAGCACCCAACCAGCACACGTGAGACCCAGGGGAGAGCAGGTAAACCCAGTAGGAGATACAGGGGTGGGAGGGGGGCAGGACTGCTGGGCTAAAATCGGGGACTAAAATCTGGGCAGACCAGGCCAGGCAGGGCTACAACACCTGCTGGCTTCATCTGGGCTGGATCAGGGAAAAGCCAGGCTGGGCTGGTTTAAAAAAAAAAAAAAATGCATGCATATGTTTATACATGCATAAGCCAGAGTGGGCGAAGGTTAGTTGGGATTCGCCGCAGCATTTGTTGGCAGATGCTGCCACATGGGTCAAATTCTGTCAAGCTAAACAACAGAACCACCTGGAGTGTGCAAGATCTAGGAATAGGAGTGGCATCAGTAGGGAAACTGTGGGCGCCTCCCTCTTGGGTTGCCCCTCCCACTGGTGAGCATAAGAACCAGGACTGGGGCAGGCATGACTAGACAGAGGGTGGCACCCACTAGCCCATGAGTGGGCTGGTTAGTGGGGATGGATGGGTTGAACTAGGCTTCAGTGCCCATTGACATGTACAAGAACTGAATGGAATGTGGGACAGATCGGACCAGTCTGCTGTACATGTTGGCAAGCACAGGAACCAGGGCAGGGGGAAGAGCTGGTGAGGGTTATTGCAGTTCACTCAAACTAGGCTGCAACTCTCACTGGTTTGTGTGAAGGCTGAGTGTGTAGTGGGCAGGATTGGGATGAACTCCAACACCCATTAGTTTGCATAGAAAACAGGGCTGGAAACAACTAACCCAGCAATTGCAACCCCCAGTATGTGCATAGGATGATTGGGGTGATGTACTGTGCCAGACCCTGTACTAGCAAGCACACACAGGAATCAGGTCTGGGATCACCTCAGATGATGTTTTTATGGAGATTTCCCCAGCTGAATGTTAGACTCAGAACCCCAGCCATGGAGAGAATTGCAGGTTCCTTGGTCTGACTGTGGAGTACATGTGTCTAAGCTGGACCTCCTCGGTGTCTTAAATGGAGGAGTGGTGCATATGGAGAATGTGACAATACACTGGAGGCTGCAGAGGACACCTGGTACCACGACAGAGGACAAAAACAGAACAAATTGATTAACTAACCCGGCCAAGCGTTGGTAGGAATTATCTGAGAAAATGGAAACTCTAAGTTGGATTTAGTCAGCCAGTTGATTCTGGAAAGATTTCATTGTGTTTGGAGTGGTGGGATCAACATCAATTCAGAACTGTTGAACTATCAAAACAACTTGATCAGGACCCTCAGAGCATGCCCCACATCATGGACCCTGGAATGATTGGTAGGCTGGGTGTAGTTTCTCTGTTGGTTTTCTCCCACCCTTTCCCAGATACAGGAAGAAACAAGGAGAATGTAGAAAAAAGTCTCACCCACTTTCCTCTAGCCCTTGACCCTTGGTACCCTAACTATGTAAAAATCATCAAAAAGAAAAATAGATAAGCATTTTGAACATGAAAAAAGTTAAACTAAGTTAAACACACAAAAATTTAAGAATGTGTATGAAGACCTGGCATCCCCTCCTGTAATGCTGTAATTCCATATTGGCACCAATATGTGTTCCTCTTCCAATCCAGCTCTCTGCTTATAACTTGGTAAAGTAAGAGAAGATGGTGTAAGTCCTTGCCCCTGCATACAGCTGGGAGACCTGGAAGAAGCTTCTGGCTCCTGTCTTTGTACCAACCCACATCTAGCGACTATAGCCATTTGGGGAGTAACCAGTAGCTGGATTATCTCTCTGTCTCACCTCTCTGTATCTTGGCCTTTCAAATAAAAATATTTTTCTAAATATGTGTATGGAAAGAAATTTAAGTTTCTTTCTTAATCTTTAGAAATCCTTCACATTCATATAAAAAATGAATGCTTGTGACAAGAGATAAGAAAATTTGTAGCAGGAATAAAGAAGAAATATTCAAACAGGATTAAGAAAGATAGAAATGTGAAGGTGGAAAGCCTTCTGTTTGCAATACGAAATTACTAAAACTTCACCCTGGCTCTGATTTCATTATTTCCCTCCAGAAGTTTCCCAATGACCCAAATCCTCTAAAAATAAAATTTTACCATTCAAACAGAAATTAACCTTTCATTTTCTCCCTTTCACTCTGCACTCCCAGCCTCACTGGAAAAGTCAAGCTTCTTCCAGAAATAGCAATTCCCTCTACAATCTTGCTTTAATACTGTGAGATGCGGGTAGAAACGGCAGAAATGATGTTTTCTTGTTGTGAGAAAGAAAACTGTCCTGGGAAATGAAGAAGGAACTTGATCTCTCAGATGTTTGGAGGATATGATACAAACTTAGTGAGAACTGAAATCCTAAAACCAGACTGGAAAGAGGAAATCATGAAACCATTAAGATTATTGCATGGAAAGAAAGGGAAGCAAAAATGGGCCAGCCTTGGAAGAAGCTAACGTGTCAAAAAGGCTGGGGGGAGGAGGGCATTCTCTTTCCCTGAAACTACCCACCCAGAGCTACGTAACAGGGATGTGCAGCTCTGACACAGCAGAGGCCATGAAGAAGACTTTTGCTCCTTTGCTGTAGACGCTGAGAAAGAACCTCCCAAGAAATCTGGACTGTTTTCACAGAACTGCATTTCCTCTTCTCAGACAACTCCTGCTCTACTGCTAGGTAAGTATTGTGGCAAAAGGGAAAAGTATTTAGACCATTACTGGGAAGGAATTTAAAAAAGAGAACTTGTTCCCTACTGTTGGTAACAAAATCATCCCAACTGGAGACCTTTATGCTTAGTGAAATAAGACAGTCCCACAAGGATGAATATCATTTGTTATCTCTGATATAAGACAGCCTTCATGCAAAGTACAAAATAACTAAATACATAGGTAATCAAGTTTCTACATACATTCTCATAGATGAACTGCATAACGGACACAGGCATACTGGCAATTGAAGATATACTGCAGTAAGTGACTTTGCTCCCAAGTAAAAGGAGGACTCCCAATCAGTTAAATACATCTCGGCAGTATGACAGTAGATGTTCTATCTTTACTGATATCTACAATGCCATGATATGTTTAAATACCAGGAAGTTGAACTTATAACTATTACTAAAGGAAAATTTACTATGATAATAAGGTGAAAATGATGGGAGTGGAAATCAGGGAAGGGAGAGAGGAAGGAATCCTTATTCCTACAAATTGCGTCATGGAAAATAATAAGATTAGTATTCACAAAAAAAGACTTTCTTCTTTGACTTTCAGTATTAAATTTAAAGAAAAAAATTAATGAAAATTGTCGCTTTGTCTCTCCAAGGGAAAACCAAAAGCCAAGAGTTAGACAAGAAAAAGACAGAAAGTTAAGGAGAATATTTGAATTAATACTTATCACAATTTAAGTGTAAAATTCAGGAACTGTCAGTTATGGATCAATGGTAACTGTCTCAGGAGTGACAGCACCAAACTGATTTCCTGAAGACAAAAGGTCAGTCCAGAGCTGACACATGATTGTATTCCCTAGATCTCTGTCCCATGACCATTGTGTCTCTTTAGCTGTTGCTCTTCAGCCTCTGAAATCTCCCAAGATGCTAAAGTAGAGTTACTCCAACATAATCTGGCATACTGTTTAACACACTCAGGGCTCAATGAAACAGCCTCGGAAGTGCACGGCACTAACCATGGAAGCAGAATATAACATCAGGTTTCAAGGTGATGTCCACAATAATGTTGATGGATTTTGTAACGTTGAGTCATCTAGATCGTGAAGTTCCATGCCTTTCCAGGTCTCCCCTGAACTTCTTACCAAAGTCTTGGGCACATATAACAATGCTTCTGCAGCCACTGAAGGCATATGACTGATGGTAAGGCAGTTTTAGAGCTTCCAGAATTGGCTTTATATCTGCTCATACGTGTTACCCCCATGGCAACTTAAGGAAAGACAGAAATGTCTGTGTCTTCCAATACTAAGTCCTGCCTTGCCCATTAGGGTCAGAAAAAGCCTACACTCTCTCAGGAAAGCAATGTCTTTTCCTTTCAAGTAACTGAATCTCTGGCACCCAGAGAACCCATCTGCTCTCCCTCCTCTGTCCATCATTTCAAGGACCTAGAGGGAGAACATGGATTACTGTCCATTTCACATTTGGCATTTGGAGGCCACACCAGGAGGAAGGAATGAGTACAAAGGAAATGATCAGTGCTACCTTGTACCTGCAATACTGAAACTGAAACACAAGAAGTTCATGACCTTAACTGCTTTCAACCTCACAATGACCATGCTCACTTTCTCCACGTTCTTGAGAGCTTAGTTAAAGCTGGCTGTAGAAGCTGTCTGGTTTCCATAATCTTAATAGAGTTCACTTGAAATATTCCCTCAGCACTATCTGAAGACTTCTGTGAAGGAAGCACCAATCTAGGAAACAGAAAATCTGCAGGGAAATCCCAACACAGCCAATAACCCACTTATCTGACCTTGTGAAAGCAACTTAGCTTGTTTAAACGTGAACTACCTCATGAGTGCATAAGGGAATAACAGGTGCACATACATAGCAGAATAAGTCCACAAGCTTAAGATCAAATGAGAGTATATGTCCATTTCTAGTGTCTGCAACATTGCCATTTTTTTCTTCTCCAAAACACCCTAACTCTAGAGTGCGCCGTTTACACATAGAAGACCCCCTCTAAATAAAGCAGCATCCTGAGCCTGTCTTCCACTGCAGGAAGACTGGGAAGTACGGCCAGTTTTTCTGCTGGGACCCCTCGCAGACTATCTTGCTGTCCTCTGTTTCTGTCTCCCCCGGCATGTACCTACAGGAATTCGCACATGCATATTGCACAACTTGCATTTTCTGCTTGGTCAAACGTCTCCTTTATATCATGATTACAAAGCTGTTTCTCCCATATTTTCCAGAACCTCCAAGGATGATCCTCCAGGACTGGACTGCCCACTATTACAGCATCTGACACCCTTCTTGTCCCCCCCTTTTTCCCAGGAGCAGGACAAAAGAATGAAAAGACATCTATCCTCCTTGACTCTTCTACTGTGCCTGATGGGTTTCAGCTTGATGAGCTCAGCATGGACTGCCCCTGACTGCACCATAGGAGACAGCTCCCTTTTGTCTAACCTCTCTTACTACATCCCATTCTGTTCTTTGGCCCCAGGACTGCGCCTTTTTGCATCATGCTCCAACGTTAAAGACCTGCCTCAGACCCTGACTTCAGTACCTTGGGATACAGAAGCACTTTGTCTACAAGGGGAAGTTCCACTCCTGCCAACTGGTGCCTTTCGCCTCTTTCCATCCTTACGACTATTGAAACTAGAGCTGGGTACCATCATGGTTTCATCTGGAGCATTCCAAGGACTGGACCAGCTGCAGCACCTCTCCTTAGAACATCATGCCCCTTGTTGTCTGGATTTGTTTCTCCCTGGAGATGCCCTGGAGCCCCTCACATCTCTCAACAGCATTTCCTTCCAAGGCTACTGCTTGAATTACAGTCAGAGCATCCGATTACCAATCAGCCTTAGTCATCTGACCCTGAAGCACAGTTGTTTGACAGAGCTGCAGGAACTACAGCAGATCTTCCCAAATCTTGACCCTGATTTCCCTCCTTCACAAAGCCCCAGACCATCGTGTCCTTTCCTGCAGGTTTTGGATCTGTCTTCAAACCTGCACCTGAGTCGGGTGGGTGTTGGAGCTTTGGGAAGGCTCCATCTCCATTCCCTAAGCCTGGATGACACTCCCATGAATGTATCAGGCTTGCTAGACTCAGGCCTGCTCCACCTGGGCTCCCTCTCCCTCATACAGACAGGTCTAAATAAACTGCCTGGAAATGTGGTGGACTACTTTGACCTTGATGCTCTTGATCTGGAGAGGAACCAGATCCAGAGCATAGAGGATGAGCAGCTGCCAGGTTTGCGCTCCCTGGCAGTGCTCAGCCTCCACGCCAATGGCCTGCAGTTCCTGCCCACTGGGTTCTTGAGTGCTCTTCCCCAGCTTCAGAGACTCAACCTTTCCATGAATAAACTGGGTGCAAGCCTGCTGCTTCCAGAAGGACTAGGCAGCTCAAACCTGAGAGTGCTAGATCTGTCTCATAACGAGCTCTGTATCCTACCCTATGGAGCATTCTCCTATCTTCCCCAGCTCCAGGAGCTCCGGCTGAGTGGTAATAACATCTCCAACTTATCCAGCGAAAACCTGGATGGACTGAAACATCTGAAGTCTCTAGACCTGAGTTGGAACCAAATTAAAGTGCTCCATCCAGGCTGGCTCTCCTCTCTTCCTGCCCTAACTTCATTGAATCTTTTGGGCACTTACTTAGAGCATATCTCAGGCAAGCAGCTCCAGGGTCCCCAGGAGTTGAGCCATCTGAAACTGGGTTCTCTTAATATGTTGGACATCTACCCTCCCTGGCCTACCGTACTGCTCAGCTTGGAGATACGGGCACAAACTGCTCTAGAGTTTCACGTCCCCAGTGGGGAACCATTCTTGTTCTTGGAGAACCTCGTCTTGCAATCTTCCTATGTGGTTCTAGAGCCAAACAACAACACAATCCATTTTCCTTCTCTACGCCACCTTACTTTGCGAGGATGTGACCCCTCCGTTTTCTCAGGTTCTAAATCAATATTTCTGTCACAGTTTCCTCTCCTGGAACATTTGCACTTCTGGTCTAATCATGAGCAGCTAGAAAACTTGCATTTCTTGGGCATGCCCAGCCTACGAGTGCTGGAACTGGGAGATACAAACGTGCCCTCTGAGTTAGGACCAGTGACACTGGAGGAGCAACTAAAGCAGGTACCTCAGTTACAAGTGTTGGCATTGAGCCATGTGAAACTTAGGAACCTATCCATCAAAACCCTCAGGGGCTTGAGCCGACTCCAGCTGCTCTTGATCAACTCTGAATGGGCCCTGGGGTTGGACAGCAGTCTCCAGGAGATAATCCCCCAGCTACCCCAGTACATTTATTTCTCCAATGTCACTTTTGTCTGCCAGTGTGAAAGCTCTTGGGTGGAGCCCTGGGCAATGCGGGCCCCAAACACCTTTGTGTATGGTCTGGAGGCATCTATCTGCATTGCTAACACCTCTGACTATTCCAAGACTTCCCTGCTTTCCTTCTTTTCTAGTCACTGTACATATGAGCCTGAGCTCCAGGGCTTTCTCATCAGCTTCCCTCTGGTGCTCCTGCTCATCATCTTTGCACTGCTTGGCTGCCCTAAATGGCTCTGGCTTCACTACCTGTGGAACCTGTTTTATGCCTGGTGGTGGAAATTGTTTGGACGGGTCCCCAGAAGACCTTTCCACTATGATGTCTTCATATCGTATTGTGAGCAAGACCAAGCCTGGGTACTGGAAGAACTGGTTCCTGCCTTGGAGAAGCCTCTTCCTGCCGGTGAGGGTTTAAGGTTATGTCTGCCAGACAGGGACTTTGGGGTTGGCCAAGACAGGATGAATGCTACGGCTGTCAACATGGAGAACAGCAGAGCCATCCTTTGTGTGCTCAGCTACCAAGCGCTGGAAAGTACCTGGAGCAACCTGGAGCTAAGACTCGCCACCTATTATTTGGTGACCAGGCCTGGGATTACTCACCTGCTGCTACTCTTTCTGGAGCCTATTGATCAGCAGCAATTGCCAGGTTACCAACGCCTCACACGGTGGCTCCAGAAGGAGGACTGCTTTGAAGTGCCCCAATCCAGGGTGCAGTGGGATACATTCTGTGAGCAGCTTCGGAGCAGGCTAGAGAAAGCTGAACAAGAAAGAGAAGATAAAAGGGTGTGAGAAACTCAGCCACAAAGGAGCACTTCACTTACTCTCTCTGTAATTCTTTCAAAATAAGTACAAAAAAAAAAAGCAAAAGAGGCACCCAATCTCAGTGGGAGCACATGTTTCAAAGCGTTTGGAAGCCAAGACACTCATTCAAAAGACACTCCTGATTCCTACTGGTCCTTCCCAATGCAAGACATCTGCTACCACCCCAACCCCGCCCCCCCAAAAAATGCACAAAAATAAAATCTCATATGCATTTTTAATGGTGAAAAACTATTTTGTCTCAGAAGAATAGGGCAAGTCAAGGTTAAGTAAAATCCCAGTTTCTCCCTAATGTTAATATTTCCCAGTACAGTGTTTCATGTCATTGGGTCTATCTGGGTGGCTTTCTTACCCTAAGTGTGTGTCAGGAAAGTTTAGATGCAACATGATTTGAATCTAATTTTTATATCAGTTTCCTAGTCTTCATCTGATAAAATTTATGATTAAAAGTAATATTTCACGGGCCCGGCGCGTTGGCGCAAGTGGTTAAGTCCTCGCCTTGCAAGCCCAGGATCCCATATGGGCGCCGGTTCTAATCCCGGCAGCCCCGCTTCCCTTCCAGCTCCCTGCCTGTGGCCTGGGAAAGCAGCAGAGGACGGCCCAAAGCTTTGGGACCCTGCACCCGTGTGGGAGACCCAGAAGAGGCTCCTGGCTTCGGATCGGCATAGCATCGGCCGTTGCGGCTCACTTGGGGAGTGAATCATCGGATGGAAGATCTTCCTCTCTGTCTCTCCTCTCTGTATATCCGCCTTTCCAATGAAAAAATAATAATAAAAAATAAATAAATCTTAAAAAGTAATATTTCAGAGTATCTTGTTCCATCACTAAGTCAACTTCTTCTAGAAAATTATTTTCTGCATTAAAATATAATGTGTTCCCCACCAAATTTTACTAAAATTTCTAACTCTGGGCTTTGTAAATTAAATGGGATGTATTCAGCTGCTCCACTAAATTACCATTCTGTGTTTGTTCGGGTATAATATTCTCTTATTCTTAAATTTAAATACCCCAGTTTCTTCTACTAATGCTCAGTTTCCATATTTCCAAATCTGTAAATTGCTTTCCTTCTGGTACAAAAATAATGATGTTGAGACATTGAAACAGTTTGTTGGGAAGCCAACACCAAGGTGCAGTGGTTTAAGCCGTTAGTACATTAGCATTCTATGTTGAAGTGCCTGTTTGAGTACTGTTCCTGGACCTGGAAGCTCCATTTTTGATCCAGCTCCCTACGATTTCCTGGGAAGGAAATCAGATACCAAAGTCCTCAAGCCACTGCACTCACTTGAGAGACCTGGAAGAAGCTCCTGGCTTTGGACCAACTCACCTCTGTCCACTGAGCACATTTGGGGAATGAATCAGCAAATGGAATATAACTTTGCTTCGCCTTTTCTCTTTCTGTTGTTTTGGCTTTCAAATAAAAAAATCTGTTAAGAAAATAGCAGGAGTCATCAAACATCATTGAAAGATCAGAAATAGCGAAAATAAAAATACTTAAAACAAAACTAAACCAAAAAAAAAAAAAAACGTTCCTTCAAATTCACTGCAGTTTGATCATGTTCTTATGAGAGGTATTATGTAGAGTTCTGTATCTTATCTATGTAGAATTAAATGTGATTATGTCCTCCTGGTTTTTAAATCATTGCTTCCAATTATACACTAATATTTTTAGTTGTGATAATAATAGTGTTTCTTTAAGTGTTTAATCTTTTTTGTAATTGAAGCAATACTGGAACAATGAGTAGTTTACAGTTAAGACAATAGTTTAAAGTTAAGTACAAATACAATGATTAGTATTAATCCAAAATTCCCAACTTAGCTACAGTGCACTTGGGACTGAGTGTGTGTGTGTGTGTGTGTGTGTGTGTGTGTGTGCAAAATGAAAGAAAGAAGGGAGCAGGTAGACAAGTTTTTTAATTGCTTTATGAAATCTCTGCAACAGTTGATTTCTAATTTTCTATCTTAGACTTCATAGAACCATTGTTCCTGATTTTAATTCTTAAATCCAGTGTCATTTGTGGAAAAGCATAGTACAGTACATAAAAACATATACAGACACGTGTGGATATACTCAACATTCTGATGCAAAGTTTAAATCCAATTATTTTTGAGATGAGACCCAAGACTCATCTTTCTCCCTTTCCCTAGAGACTGGGTCAATTTAGATTCAGGGAATGAAGTGCTATTTGAGTCCTGGCCAAGACTTTCTCACTGTTACCCCAGATGAGACCAATAGGAGAAGTTGGATAATCCAAAGACATCAATAATAAATCTTAGCCCAGTTATGAAGTAATGTAGGTCAGGACTGCAGCTCAGTAGCAGGTATGAGGTTAACTGGGGCAGTGTGCTCTGGGTAACCAGCCTTACCGTGATGTGCAGTTGAAGACAGAGAGGCCACGGTTCAGAATGTGTCTGCTACATATTGTATTCTAGAGACAAAGATGTGACTGGGTCTCGAAAACTGGAAAGGCCACAGTGTCCTCCATATCAACAGATATCCATCTTTTTAGGCTAAACCCTGTGATCATGTGTGGGCTACACATGGTTGCTCCATTTGATGATGTTACCTTCGCCAAGCCTCACTCTCTTTCAGAAAGCCTGCTGAGGAACTTGTATGCTAGCACCACTATACTCATCTTTGCTGCACTTTTATTTCTGCTGAAATATGAGGCAAGGAAACTGGGGCTGACTCATATGCTCTGAGAGAAAAAGTTAAATTTGGATGTCTACCTTCTAACATGACTCTATACCGCTCATCCAATAACTTCAGGTAAGGCTTCATCCAGATTTTTTGCTTCATGTCTTTTTCATTTTCCTCTAACCCTGTGTTGTATTTTCTTTACATGAAAATGTAGTTTACAATAGCTCTCTGGTAATAGAAACTGGTGATATTTCCAACTATACAAATATAATAAAATGTCCAGGATCAGAAACATTCTAAACAAACACATTCATTTACAAATATATTTTATAAAATATCTCACTTTAATTCAAATGTTAGCTTAACTAAAAAACCAGATAGAACAGAAGTATGTTTTGCAATGACAAGCTTATTCCATACATCATTACATATTTAGTCACATATACAAGATTTCTGGACCTCAGTATCAGAAGTCAAAGGAATTTTTATTAAAAATTAATAAAAATTAATGCATTAGTGTTCTAACTAATTAGTGCATTAACTAAAGAAGAAAAAATAAAAGTATCAGTGACTGCAGCCTATCCTTAAAAAGGAGAAGTTTCAAATGGTTAGTTCACTTAACTATTTAAAAATAAGACCAGCCAGTTGATACAAAGATTAAAGATACAATTAGATACACATAGCTTCAACTTTGTAGCAATGTTTTCTCTGACTTGTGGTAGTTAATATCTAGAGTACAAAATGCAATGTATATGAGTCAAATTTACAGCAAGATTTGATTATTATTTATAGCTCTTGTCTCTACTCCCAAGGAGTAGTGGTCTTTCTACTTTCTATGTGATGAATTTTTTACTTCATGTGGGATTAAATCTGTGATGATAGAGTAAATGGAAAGTAATGTATCACAAAATTAAAAGGAAAAAAGAAAGGAAATGGGAGAGAGAGGGTGAGAATACCAGAAGCTTTGACATGTGTGTATGAAATGAATGAAATACATGGAATCTGTTCTGTTTATATACATCAACAAGCAGTTTCTATGAATGTGAATGTGAGAATTTTCTCTGGGTGTAACCAGGAGTTAAAACTGATGGGGAATGCTAAAATTGATTCAATTCTGAATATGTTTTGAACAGAAGGCCTTAAGGACTTCAAGGTAGTTTGGACATGAAGTAGAGAGTGGTGGTAAAACATAACATGGACAAAATCTGTGCCCTGAACCACTGAGTAAATCAAAGTTCTGTTTAGTAAAGTGGTGAGAAAACAAGGACCAATAAGTTTGTGGAGAGAAAAACCAAAAGATCTGTTTCGGTCTTAAATTTTAGCTGTATTAGAAGTCAAAAAAAAGAGATAAGAGACAAACAAATCCAGGTTGCAGAAAAGATTTCACAACTCAACATGGAAACTGTGGTTTTATCTCATGGAAATCATTTGAAAGTCAAGGGACTATTTAAAGGGTAACTTAACAGAAAAAGTGAAGTAGGAGAAGATGGACTGTGACGACACAGATTCTGAAAATACACTTAGAAGTCAAGAAAACCAAAAGAACTTTTAACACTGAAGCTCCAACTAATGGAGTAAGATTAAACAGTCAGTGTACACAGTCTCAAATATCATTCAAATATCAGCACTTTCAGTAATTTCACACTCTGCATACCTTTGCTTTTTGTGGCAAATATTAAGTGTCATCCTGAAGTATTTTCTTGTATTAAAAATCAAATGACTCCTAATAAATTTCAACTAAGACCAAAGTCTCTTGTTGGGTATATTTGCGGCTTCTTCCTGAAGCATGCTTCCGTTAAAGAGGATTCTTCTGGTATTCTCCACCAAAATCATATCAACTTAATTTTAAATGTTCATCTATTTTGGCACTGCACCAAGTTTCTTTTTTAAAAAAAACTATTACTTTTATTGGAAAGACGATTTATTGGAGAAGGAGGGACAGAAAGAAAGATCTTCCTTTGACTGGCTCACTTCCCAAATGGCCGTAATGGCCAGTGCTAAACTGCTGTGGAGCCAAAAGTCAGGAACTGCTTTCAGGTCTTCCATGTGGACTCAGGATCCCAAGGATTTGGGGCCACCCTCCACTGCTTTCTCAGGCCACAAGCTGGATGAGAAATGGAGCATCCAGGATGTGAACTGGTACCTGTATGGGATCCAGGAGCATCAGGAGGGAGGATTAACCAATCAAGCCACTTGTGCCAGGCTCTTCATTAAGCTTCTTATGCTCAATAATTTTCAATGGCAAAGTAGATTAAATTAAAAAGGAGGAATTTTTGGATTAACTATACACATATCACTAAACTTAAAATTCCATACTCTATCATTGACGTCT